GATCTGATTATGCAGAGAGACAGCTGCGTGTTATGCAACAGACTGATGAGGATCACACACTAACTCAACTTGCAAGTGCATGGTTGAATTTGGCAGTGGTGAGTGCATCTTCTCCAGCTTATTGTGACAAGTGAATATTTCTTGATTTTCTGAACATATTGTTCTATGTGTCAGGGTGGTTCCAAGATACAGGAAGCATATCTTATCTTTCAAGATCTCTCTGAAAAGTACCCAATGACAGGGTTGATCTTGAATGGAAAGGCTGTTTGCTGCATGCACATGGGGAACTTCGATGAAGCTGAGACACTGTTGCTTGAAGCGCTCAACAAGGTAATGTTTGGTAGTTGTTGAGAAAATTTTAACTTCTGGTGTGACATGCCATTTGTTTCTAGCTGTTTGGGCATAATTCAAAAAAATTTAAGGTCATTCTATGTATATATATATGTGCACATGCTCCAAATTATATTGAATTCTAATAACTTGCAATGTGCATGGAAAGAAAAGTGCAAAAAAAATTCTGAGTTCTATTGAATACTGTTATTTTGACACATGAGAGCTTTTTGGTACATTAGGGTTTCTCTTTTTAATTTCTTGATCTCTTAACTTCCATATCTACGCTTTGTGGTATTATGATGGCACAAAACATTTCAATCCCAGCACTTGTCGTTATGTAGCATTCGCTCTGAATAGACTCAAGGTTTGTTTGAGACATTATAATTAACAAAAGAGTTGTTTTCTAATTAATACAGGATGCAAAAGATCCAGAAACTTTAGCCAATCTGATTGTATGCAGCCTTCACCTCGGTAAATCATCTTCACGTTACCTCAGGTAAGCTGTATCTTCATATCCTCATTTCTCTTCCCCATCTTATATACTTTTTTTGGATAGGCAACATGAATTCGGTGGTTTCACTTTATTCAATTATTTCTCAAAGACCCGATCTGTTCCTCGGGTAGTATACCTCTATGTCAATTAATAGTTAAAGTGAAGAAGAAAAAAGGTTCCAAATAGGATCTTTTCCTCTTTTCATCTTCTTTTGGAGTTCCCTATACTTCTCCAGATGAATAGAATCGGAAGGATTGTTGGATTCCAATTTCCCGTTATTTATGATTAATGACTGCCTTAAACTGATTGAATTGCAGCCAGTTGAAACTTTCATATCCACACCACATTCTTGTTAAGCGTGCGACTTCTGCGGAAGAGAACTTTGAAAGAGCCATTCAATCTGTTGCTTGAAGACCAGGTTGAGTCGAGTTGGGTTGGGTCGGCTACAGCATGTATCATTTCGAGGTGGTCGGTGCTTGATAAATGGTACTTTTCACCTTGAAAACGACTGTTTTGTAACCTACAAGAAGAATATATGATGATATGATTGATCGGAAAATTTGTGGTTTTGTTAGCATTAATAGAGTTGGAAAGTTTGATGATAGTTTGGGTTTTGGGTCATCTTCTTGTTGGATAACTCCATATGTTAAATATTTCAAGCAAAGTCATTTATTATGATGGTCTCTGTGGTGTAGAGGGAGAAGCATATTTTGTTAATTTTAAGCAATTTCAATTTAAATATACAGTATAACTAATAACATAACCCATTTCCTGGCTTTTACTACCTGGGACAGCCAGTTATGGTAACCGGTTGTACCAAAAATTTAAATAATAAGTACTTTTATATTTTTAAATATTTTAATCAATAAAAATTAAAAAATATATAATTTTAAATTTAATTGGAACAGCTCAAATATTACAAGTACTAAGGTTTAATCTTTGAAAGTTTCAAATATAATGTTATTAATGTCCAAATTTTATAAATTTCAGTTCTACATACTGTTTTAAGTTTCAAATATTATATATAGGTCTCATATGTGTGGTTTTAAGCATCAAGTTCTCTAATTTCATATATATTGTTCTAGATTTTAAATATTATTTATAAGTATTCATTTTCGAGTGTGATGTTATAAGTGTTAAAAGAAATGTTTTTGGTATCAAACCATTTAGATTTCAGGTTATATGTTACTGGTTTCACATTTTATTTTATAGATTATATATATAATCTTTGTTTTTAAGTTTTATTTTTTTTTATGGACTTCATTCACGTTAAAAGTTCCAAGTATAATGTTGTCAATTTCAAACATAGCATCATTAATATCAAGTTCATCAAATTTCAACTACAACATTAGTAATTCCAAATTCTACATTATGAATTTCATGTATATTATTTTAGGTTTCAAGTACTAAATCAATATAACATGTTTCAAGTGTGATATTATAAGTTTCAAAAGATATGTTTTTGGTATCGAGTCATTTAGATTTCAAGGTATATGTTATTGGTTTCATATTTTACACGGTTACGTTTGTTTCGTTATTTCACTAATATCCTGTCTTTATTCCAAATAGAAATGTGCATTTGTTTCCCTATTTTCATAATCATATTCTAAATTAAGAAACTAATTTTAAACCCCCTAGGTAGGTTTGTTAATTGACAAAACACCCCCAACAAAAAAATTTACAAAATGACAAAACACCCCCACTCACCCATAGTTGCCAGATTCTGACAACCATCGTCAGTGGTGGCTAGAATCTGTCACAACGGCGTACTGCCGGCTAGAAATGGCTAGTAATGGGTCGATCTGGCTTTTTCCGGCCAGATCCACGTTGACGACCAAAAAATGGTCATCATTGACCGTCAACGACAGCCATATCTTTGGCCATCCCTGATGGCCAGTAGGCGAACGATTGGCCAAATCCGATCGATCGTGCACCGTAACGCTAGATTTCGGCCAGATTCAGCAGATCGTGCGTTGTAACGCTAGATTCCGACCAAATTCCGACAGTGGTGACCGGAATCTAGCCACTGTGGGTGTGTGAGGGTGTTTTTGTCATTTTATAAAAAAATTATATATTGGGGTGTTTAGCTAAATTAGGGGGTTTTTGTTAATTTTTAAATTCTACCTTATAATAATCACCTAACTCTACTTACCAATAATATTTCAAAAATACTAATCAAAATAATAAAACAAACACACCTATTTCAAGTACTGTTTATAGTTTTCAAATTCATATTAAAAGTTTCAAGTATTGGGTTATCAATATCAAACATGGCATCATCAATTTCAAGCCCCTCGGATTTTAAATAAGACGTTAGTAATTTCAAGTGTATTTTTTTTTTTTTTTTTTTTGAGGGGGGGTGTGATTTATAGGTTTTAAATCTATGTTAAGGGTTTTTAAGTATGATCTTGTTACTTTTAAATCTAAATTTATTTTGGTTTCAAGTTCAACGTTAATGGTTACAGGTTGCATATTATAATTTTCAAGTTTTTATATATATTTCAATCCCATCTTAAATGTTTCAATTCTACCGCTATTGGTACCGAATTCTATTGGCTTAAAAAACAACGTTATTTGTTTCACATTTTACCTATCAATACAGAATCTGCTTGATTTAATTAAATAATTATTAATATAAATGAATTTACAATTCTTATGAGAGATTAATTCAACAACTTCACTAATTGAATTTTACCACAAGTCTATGTCTCTATGATTAATGACCCATGGAATGTAAATGTTAGAAATAATTTGTATTCTCTTAAACCTGTTCAACCGGTTGCAAACTTTTATTAGAATTTTAGTTAAAATTATAATATTCCACCATTAGATAATTCTCTTATAAATCAAACGGTTTCCTTTTTCCAACGTACATTGCGTTAAACGTAGCGCGGTATAACCCCATTTCCTATGTTTATATTTTTAAATGAATAACATCTCTCATAAACTTTCTCTCACAACCTTAATATGGCAGCTCGCAATTGGTCAGTTTACAATTAATTAGTAGGATCCATGTGAGACCTATTGTGAACTGACCAATTGCAAGTTATCACGTCAAAGTTGTAAGAGAGGAATATTGATATAGTATTATTCTTTTTAAATTTCAATATTTACGGATTTTTTGCTTATTTATTATTTCTTTTTCTTAGAGGAAGTGAGGAACTGTTAAAACATGGGTTATATTCTCCATCTCCCTTGAGGTTTGGGTATTTACTTTTTAGTACCCCCAGCGGGCCCCGCCTAGAGGTATAAAAAACTATCCCTGACCTCCCTTCACATTTCAGAAATTGCTAATACCTCCTCCCAAGCCCAAGGCCATTAATTATAAAGTTTGAAGCCATCCAAAAGGAGAAATGCAACCCATGGTGCTCCATTGCTTCGTTTGTAGCGATTCATCTCACCTTTGTAACCAAGAGAAGCACTTGCCACACTGCACAGTCAACTAGTACCATCTCCGACGAAAATCATGACCAAAAACAACTTAACACAGCCTAAAAACTGAACTGCAAGGGTGCTTCCCCAGATTTTCTTGACATAACACTGCACCACCAACCCAACTCCAAAGTCTACACCATCCGATCTGTTAATTCGTGTTCGTGCTACTTGCACAAAGGAGATAGCGATCACCACCTAAAAGTCAAACAACAATGGAACTTGGCCGGAAAAAGCCATTGAGTCAGAATGCCCCACCACTCATCGGCTCTTTCGAATCTGTTGAACGGTATCACTTTCATTGTTTGAGTTGCCAAACATGTTCACAACTTGATGGAAATGAATAGGTTCTCAAGGGCCTTTTGAAGGTCAATAAAGGGCAAATGGTAATATTTCATTTTCTGTGAACCTGTACCATCAACAAACAGACCTACAGAGTACAGAGGGACGTATTTGACAATTTTTGAAATGTAGGGCTAGAATTTTATACTTTGGAGGTGTGAATGGATCATAATCCTTAAAACATTGACTTTTCACTTGAACAACCAATTTTTACAATTAGTACCCAAAATTAAAAAAAAAAAAAAAAAAAAAAACTCAGATTATGAGAAATATTAGTAAGCTTCTTAAAGGATTAAGCAGAAATATGCATTTATATGCACAAGAACAGTTACCAAGCATAGGCATACCTTATGAGATACAACCTCATTTAGAATGAAAATTTGCGAGATCATAATAGATATATCATCAAAATCCCTATAATCATCAGCGTGATAACAAGGGAGAAAACAATAAATCATGGAAATGAATAACGGTATATCTGCGCCCAGGCATATCATCGTATTATTAAGCTATTATCTGTTCAAATACATTCTGATAAATGGGACCCCTCTCTAGGAACTACACCACAATATATAAAGATAAATGGGAAAGAATCTACTCTCACAAGAAACCCCTTCTCTAGCTCTGGGGCGCCAGGGTTCTGCGTTAGCTTTCTCTTCTGTTATATATAATAATGGCTGTGATCGTTTCCTAAGAGGATGACAAATACCCATTATGGTGAGCTTTCTGCCATCTCCACGCGATTGATAAACTTTCCTGGAGGTCGGTGTATGTCGCTGTCCAGTTCAATTCACGTCTGATCTTTGATGGGTCACTATACACTTCAGCATAGTCACCTGGGCGTCGGGGCTCAAAGTTAACTTTGATTTTAGCTCGTGTTGCTTTTTTACATGCCTCAACGAACTCATTCACTGATCTCCCTGATGATATGATACGAAAATAAGGATTAAAACAGAATTCAACTTTCATTTGAAACTCTCAAAGACAATACAGGGAAATTCAGAAATAAATGCAATGTAATCGTTCACCTTTTCCAGTTCCAACATTATAGATTCCGACTTTCTTAGGTTGTGCTTTTTCGAGAGCTTTTACATGAGCATCAACCAGATCATTGACGTCGATGTAATCCCGAACACACGTGCCATCTGGCGTATTATAGTCTGTTCCTTTAACCTTCCAGTGATCCAAAACAACATTTTAGTTTAGATTCCAAGTAATTTAGGCATAACACCACATTGAGAAGTATGTTCAATTTATGCACTGCAATAATTCGGTAAACAAAAACATTCTTGTCGGGAGTAAAATAAATCGCAACACAAATCAGTACCTAAAACGTGTTGATAAATTTCAGCGAATGCAAGTTATAAAAAGATGAAGGTATTGCCAACAGCCAACAGAAAACAATTAAAAAAATCCAACTACATATCGTGGATAGGTTTCTCACTTCTTCAAAGAATCTGGCAACCACATCTTTCCCTTCACATCAAGCAGGGAGATGCAACCCTCCAAATCCATTAAGTTAATTTTTAGAAAAAGATAGAATTGATTTAAAAATTAAGTATGATTCTTTGTTTTCTAAAATAAAGGTAACAAGAATGAAAAAGCAAATAGTTCTATTATTTTCAAAAAAACAGTTTTTAAGATTGCATCCAAAAAATACTATTATAAAATTAAAAAATGAGAAGAAAAAAAAGTAATCTTTTATGTTTTCAACAATTTTTAAATATCAAACATGTTTTTTGGATAAAAACTCCTATTATTTTAATGTAACTTAAATTTTGAAAGTCATTTCGAAACACAAAACAAACAGACCATTAATTTCCATAAACCCTTTTTCCAAATGTTTTTTTTATTTGCAATTTACCTAGGGTAACATCTGCTGCTGATGTTAATTTGGCAGTTTCATGTTTAGTGAGTAAGGTTGATGTCTTGTTTCCGGATGGAGCTCTAACATCATCATCATCTTGTACCAATTCAAACAGGCCCGTCTATTTACTAATCCATTCATTTGCTTCCAAATGTGTATGTAAATTTTGATCTCCTTGTCAAAAATTTAGTTGGCCTCTAGAAAGGACTGCTTTGGGAACAAACATTTCAAGCATAACATAAAGGCATACCTTTAGCCCAGGAATGATCCCGCGAGCAGCATCAAAACAAGCACCTGAAATTCGTCCATGATCACGCAATTCAGGTCTGGGAGCTTCACCTAATCTGCCCTCTGGATCAGACCCAATGACATTGAAGTACCTGCAGATTACTCAACAAAATGATATGAATCGTTAATTCCACTAGATTTATAATGTAACAGTTGAAATAGAACAAAACTATAACAAGGTATGATGCATCTGATATTTCAAAAAGGATAGAATATGAAAAAGACGACTAATAAATTGGTAAAGAAACTCTCAGCGGCAAGTTAACAGGAGTACTTGTAAAAAGAACAAATACAATGTGCAAGGGGAGCAGTGAGTAAATAAAAAAATGTAAAAAAAAAATGCATAAATGAAAAAACCAACCTCAGAATCATTACTGCCATGTCTGAATTTTTAGAAAAATCAAGGATGATATCTTCAGCCATCTTCTTAGCTTTTCCATATGGATTAATTGGTACCTGAGTTCATTAAACAAAATGGGTCAATTGTCAATTAATATAACACCGCATGGATAAAAATTAAAACACATTGTAGCAAATATGGTGAACAGTCAACTAAGAATTTCGCACTAACCTGTGGAGTATCTTCAGTAATGGGCATCTTTTCAGGCTCTCCGTATGTAGCACACGTACTAGAATATATCAAAGTCTTCACACCATGAGCAGCCATTGACTCTAATACAACCAAGGTATTTGAAGTAATGTTGTGATAATACCTGCATAGCAAGGTCAAATATATTCTCATTAAGGACATATAAATGACATGATACTTCAATGCCAAATGAATAAAGAGCAAAGAAGGCATTAACCAGTATTTTGTATCCATTTATCATGCATATATCAATGCATTACACATGATACACAAATTCCTTTGAAACTCAGCCAATATAAGTTGTTTAAAGTCAAATCTTACATCAAATCTAGCTTAAAATTGTTAGTGAAATCTGATATGAAAAAATAAAATCAAGGTTGAAAGGTATTTTATGAAAACAAAAGTATAGAGAGGTTTAGGAATGGGGTTGCAGTGTCAATGGGAAATTTATTGCTTTTGATGGCTAAAATTTAGTATTCAAGGACACCAAATGAGAAAAAAATCAAAACTGTAACACAATCACTTCCATTCAAAATTTTGATGAACCAAAAAAAAAATGCGTAGCCAGGACAACCATTTCAATCAGAAAGGAACAGCTCTAGTGGAACTCAATAAATTTCACCACCATTGCTGTGAATAGCAATGTACAAAAGCCAGCTCTCACAAGCAAGAAAAAACATACCATTCGACTGATAATAGATCATAAACAATACTTACTTAAGAGGATCAAGGGTGCTTTCCCCCACATATGCAACAGCAGCAAAATGAATCACAGCATCAAATGCATTTTCTGAAAATATTTTGTTAACCTGACATATGAGTTAAGTAAACACATTGCAACATCACCATCTATAAAGTAGTAAATCTAAAGCTAAAACACATCATATCAATGCCATGATAAGGATACTGCTTTTGCATCTCCCAAGTCAGCATAAATAAACTGTAGGCTTCCAGGTTCCGGAAATAATTCTTGTAGGATCTTCACAGCACCTAGGTTTCCCCTTGAAAGATTATCCTGTCAAAAAAGAATATCAATTTCCTCAAGATCTAAACAAAAATGAGATTATTAAGCTGCAAAAGATTAAAAGCAAAGATACATACAACAATTGTTACACGGTAAGAATCCTTCAGTAATCGAAACGCAGCATGTGAACCAATATAACCAGCACCACCCGTCACTAACACATGAACTACCCCTTCTTCATGTTGGGAGAACTGGAAGAAAGCAAATCAAGGAAAACAATGTTAGATATGAAAATGCCATATAACTTCACATAATCGCCAAAAAATTTCCAAAAACAAACCACCAACCGTTCTCCTCGCACAGAAATTAACAACTAGTTATCTGAATATATAACTTAAGGATTACCTTGCTGGGGACATTGAAGCTTGGGGATTGCTTGAGCATGATAATGCATAATGCAGTTAAAGTGGCAGCTAAAAGAATTTTCCCTACAAAATTGCCTTTTCTTTTGGGGTCCGCATAATCTAAACCTGTACGCATAATAGATTCATAATCATACACAGTTTGAGCAACAAATGGAAAACTAATCAAAAACCAGCTCAATAACAAATCAAACTGATAAATATAAACTAAATCAAAAGCACTAAAAATCTAAACCATTATGATGCTTACCTCCAAAAGGCATGGATCTAGTAGACCTTGGCTGATTTCTGGTCCTGCCAAAATTTAGCATCTGGAAGAAACCTTTTAGGAGAAAAAATTTCAGGCCTCAATAATGATCAAGAAGAATCCCTTCTTCAGTGGGCTGCAAAATAATAAGAAACCCAAGTATCAAATCAGTTTTGAATCATAAATAAGAAAAGGTTAACATAAATTATGAAAATTTGAAAAGTGGAGAGACAGCAAAAAGTTTAAATTCTAAAAAGTATTTACAAACGAAATAAAAGCCCTGAAATTTCAAAAACAATAAAGATCCAGCGAAACCAAGCTGCCAAAAACACATCAAAAACAAATATACTCAAAATTCATTAAAAAATATATTTTTTTTCAAATAAAAATACAAAATATAATAATGTCAGAGTATGTCGGCTCCAGAAATTAAAATTCTTTAAAAACAACCAGAAGAATTAAATTTATCAAATAGAAATATCAAAATTTAGAACAAGGGGTTCAAACTTCAAACCCAAATGGAAGATGATCAGATTCCGAAGATTCAAAACAAAAATCCGATCTCAAATAACGCAAACAAAATTCAAAAAAACAACCTTGTCTTGATCTATGAATGAAAATGGTTCACAATTCGAAACACAACCTTTACAAAGAAACGAAAATCAGAGCTTTACTCAATCAACGGCCGTTAAATGCAAAGCAATAAAAAGGCTCCAGTTATTAAAAAACAACAAAACAAGCGCATACCCAGTTGAGAAAACAGAAGATCTGAGACGACTATGGAGGAAACGAAACCGAATATAAAGAAGAAACCACTAAAATTAAAGGAAAATGAAAGAAAAGTTAAGCAGAAAAAAAAGGAAAAAAATAAAAAAACGTAAGAAGGAGAAAGAGAAAACGTACAGAGGGAAAAGGGGAGAGAGAGGAGAGACAAAGTGTACGTACGTTTGAATGAACTGAAATTTGATTGAAGGAAGGAATTGAATATAGATTATAGAGAGAGAGAGAGAGACGAAGAGGGGTTGTGGCAAGATTGAAATTTGGCTTTGTTTTTCGTTTTTCAGAAACGTTTTTGTTGCCATGTTGTCATGTCAAGTGTGCAGAGGAGAGGAAGCAAAATTATTATAAAAGTTTTTTTAATTTATTTATTAATCAATTAAATAAATATTATTATAAAAAATCATTTAAATTTAAAAAAAAAGTTATACTAGTACATTTGATGATTTTGATTTTTTGTAGGTTTTTAAAAATAATTATTAAGGGTGAAATTGTAAAAAAAAATTATTTTATACATTAATCAATTAAATAGTTATCATTTCCCTCTAAAAAGATCATTCTATTTATAAATATTTTTTATAGGAGGGTATTTGATTATTTTCATTTCGTATAGGTTTTTTTTTTTTAAATTATCAAGGGTGAATTTGCAATACTATTTACTTTCGATAATTTTATTTTATTATATTAAATTTATCCGTAGTATTTGCCTGAATAATTTTTTTCTTTCTATAAATATAATTGACAATAGTTATAGTAAAATAAAGCTATCTAAACTTTTATTAACATTTATTAAAAAAAAAATTAATGACATAAAATCTCATTTGAAATGCTAAAAACAGAAGAGTGAGAGTTTAAAAAGTAAATAAATTAATAATACAATTACAAAAATAACAATAACAATAAATAATATATAAAAAGAAAAATATTTGATTTGATTTGAAAATAATACTATATTTACATCATTTATTTTAATTTATAAAACTTTTTTTATATTATTTCATGAAACTACAAAAAGAAATAGTTTATTTAAAGTAGTTAATTAACAGTTGGGAGTTAATTACAATCTAGATGAGATTGCAAAAAGTGACGAAAAATCAGGCGATATTTGCTCATAAAAAAATAAAATTGATTTGATTAGTCGTGCTGGGCCAATCATCAACCTGCAGCGCTGCATGTCTTTATGCTAAATTTTATTCCTCAGAATTATAAAAGAATAAAATAAAAATAAAAATTCCGTTTCAACAGCGAGGAACACGGAACGGAGTGGCTACGCCGTTTCTGCTTCACTTATTACGTGGCAACAATTGAGCGGCAGTCCGTAATTTTATTATAAAGTTAAGTGGATCCGTTGTTGTTGGTAGGGTCCATGTCCAAAAAAGTACAACAGCTTAAAGCCTTAAAGACATGAATGAATCTACGTTAACCATAAATGGACGATTATGCCACGCCGAATCCGCGGAATCGTGCGTTACCTCAATTATGTTTTCTGAGAAACGTTTCGGTGGGGAACGAGTGTATCACGTTATTTTTAACGTTAATTTAATAATAAATTGTAATCATTTTATTTGTAAAAAAGTTTACTTTTTTTTTTTTTTATGTAATTGATATAATTAATTTTATGTTTGTTTATGGTTTTAATTAAAGGTAATATTATATTTATAACTTAATCTCATAAACTTTATCTCCTAATCCCAATGTAATAACTCAATCAATTTATAATGGATTTCACTTATCAAATTGTAAACTATTACCTTTAGATTGTAAATCAATCTTTATTATTTAACGAATATATTAAAATATATATATTAAGACAATTTTATATAAGAAAAATACTAAGTTATGAACGTTTCAAAGTTTATAATTTATAGATCAAAAGTTGGCTATTTCTGTTAGCTAGGTTTAATTTTTATTTTTATTTTAATCTCTAGTTGATTTTGAATATTTGTAACTTGTAAAGTCAATGATTAATTATTGATCTTTGATCTATATATTAAAAATTTCTAGGGTTCGTTTGTTTTATTATTTTAGATAGGATTTTGGGAATAATATTAGATAGTTGAATAAGGGAGTGTTACGAGATAAAATTTAAAAATTTATAAAAAAGACTCCCTAGGTTTGCTAATTTAATAAACACCCCAATATAAAAAAAAATTATAAAATGACAAAAACACCCCTATCACCCGCAGTGCCAGATTCCGGCCACCACTGCCGGAATATGACTGGAAAATTGTGTAACGACACATAACGGTCGGATCTGGTGGGTATGGCATCGATATGGCCTTTTCCAGCCAGATCCACCAAGGATCTGTGTGAAAAAGGCCAGATCTATGGCCTTTTGTGGCCATCGACGGCCGGAAAAGGCCATATCGAGTCCATCTTTGGCCGTCGTTTTCGGTCAATAACGGCCATTTCTTTGGCTGTCGCTGATGGCCAGATCGATGAACTACCAGCTAGTTCTGGTGGTGGTGTAGGTTGTTGTACATATTCCGACCACCACCGACGGTGGTTGTCGGAATCTGGCAAGTATGGGTTGATAGGGGTGTTTTTGTTAATTTTTAAACTTTTTTCTAGGGGTATTTAATGAAATTAATAAACTTAAGGGTCTAAAAGTAATTAAAAAATATAGTAATATTTATGGAATAATGTGCTAAACAATATTTGAGGAATATGATTGAGAGTATGGGTAAAAATAGGGAGTCAAACGCATAAATATTCTCATGAAGGTTATTTATTTGGAAATTAATTGATTATTGTAATGTTATTGGATGTGTACACTGAAAAGTGAAAACTAACAAATTAAACATAAGGTTTTTTTATTTTTTTTAAAGATCATTCACAACTAATTAGTAACTAAAATAAAATATGAATAATATTACACTCATAAAAACTCTATATAAAGTCATCCATACATAGGGATAGATCCAAAAATTTCTGCTACGGTGAGTCAAAATAAAAGCTAATTACACATTAATATTTTTGTTAGGGTATGCCAAAATAAAAACTAATTGTATATTAAAATTTTCGTTCATTAATATATCTGTTAGGGTGGGTTAAAATCCAGAAATTATACATATTAATATATTTTTTTAAAATTTGATGTTGGGTACTCAACTAATACTGCATTTGTCCCTATCAATACATTTATTAAATTGATTTTTTTATATTAATTCATTCAATCATAATTTAACATATCACTTTCGAGGAAAAATGTTATATAGCGTCTTTGTAATTATAATATTAATTATTAAAAGAAGAATAGAGAAAATTAAAATAGATGAAGTCACAATTTCATGTCATTATCAATTTAGATGAATATTTTTTTTATGACTTTTCTATGTATTATAATTCTTTCAGAAAATAAAGAAAAAACACCATTTTTCTTCACAAATACATTAAAAATGAAATTCCCATTTTCTAAACTCACCAAACATCTGTTTTCATGTTTTTGTTTTTTTAAATGTCAAAATTAATATTTCTTAAGTAATACCAAACGCACTAATTATATTACTATATACATGTATTTTTTTTTATATTAGATTAAATTATATATTTATTTATTTTTCTAATATAATAAAAGAATTACAATATCCCTTATCATNATTAAAATATATATATTAAGACAATTTTATATAAGAAAAATACTAAGTTATGAACGTTTCAAAGTTTATAATTTATAGATCAAAAGTTGGCTATTTCTATTAGCGAGGTTTAATTTTTTATTTATTTTTTAATCTCGTGTTGATTTTGAATATTTGTAATTTGTAAAGTCAACTATTAATTGTTGATCTTTGATCTATACATTAAAAACTTCTAAATATTCTCATGAAGGTTATTTATTTTGAAATTAATTGATTATTGTGATGTTATTGGATGTGTACACTGAAAAGTGAAAACAAACAGATTAAACATAAGGTTGTGGGTGGAAGAACACTCACATAAAGTGCTGTGCATGTTTTAAGGTTTTTTTTATTTTTATTTTTTTTTAAAGATCAGTCACAACTAATTAGTAAATAAAATAAAATATGAATAATACTACACTTATAAAAACTCTATATAAAGTCATCCATACATAAGGATAGATCCATAAATTTCTGTTACGATAAAAACTCTATATAAAGTCATCCATACATAGGGATAGATCCATAAATTTTTGTTACGATAAGTCAAAATAAAAACTAATTGTACATTAATATTTTTGTTATGGTGGAGTTGTGAGAAAAATGTGAGAGTTTAGGGTCAATTTATAGGAAAAAAATGGAAAAGAAAAATGACGAAAAAGACCCCTCCAACAACTATATTTCAAGGGTAAAGGGGTAATTTGAAAAATAAAATAAAAATTTTTATTTTTTTATTTATTTTTTTCGGCCAACCCGCCGGGTTGCAATAGCCAACCCGGCGGGTTGGTAGGTCTCTTGCAAAAGAGACAAACAGCAACCCGTCGGGTTGCGGGTTGCCATTGTGCAACCCGGCCTGCCCGTGGGTTGCTGCCGGGTTAGGGTCAACCTGGACCGCGAATTTAACCCGCTTCTTTATGGGCCGGGTTAGGGTTGACCCACCTAACCCGGCCTAAATATTTCACCTCTAGGGTGGACCAAAATAAAAACTAATTGCACATTAATATTTTCATTCATTAATATTTTTGTTAAGGTATATTAAAATCCAAAAATTATATATATTAATATATTTTTTTAAATCAACTAGTACTGCATGTCTGCGTTTGCCCTTATCAATACATTTATTAAATTGATTTTTTATATTAATTCATTCAATCATAATTTAACATATCACTTTCTAAGAAAAATGTTATATAACGTCTTTATAATTATAATATTAATTATTAAAAGGAATAAAGAAGATTAAAATAGATGAAGTGGCAATTTCATGTCATTATCAATTTAGCTAAATATTTTGTTTATGACTTTTCTATGTATTATAATTCTTGCAGAAAATAAAGAAAAAACACCATTTTTCTTCACAAATACCTTAAAAATGAAATTCCCATTTTCTAAACTTGCCAAACATGTGTTTTCATGTTTTTGTTTTTTTAAATGTCAAAAATAATATTTCTTACGTAATACCAAACACACTAATTATATTACTATATACGTGTATTTTTTTTTATATTAGATTAAATTATATATTTATTTATTTTTCTAATATAATAAAAGAATTACAATATCCCTTATCATTTAAAAAGATTAATATTTAGATATCTAATGACAAAAATATTATTAAAAAGGAATAATATTTAATTAGTTAATAACAAAGTAATTATAATTGTATTATAA